TTAACCCTTTCAGTTAAACTCTAGCTGGGTTCAATAGTCGTCATGTGTTACTTCTTCAGCATGTCAATCAGTACATACAATAGACATGTCTATTTATTTTAGATTGACAATGAATTGTTTCATCTGAAACAAAACTTTTCAATTTATGTTTAAATGACAAAATGTTTTTATTTGCTTTGTGATTCAGATTTGGAATTCCCAGCAATTTGCCCGAATGAATCGATTTGTTTATTGACGAAAGCAACAAATGCATATGTCAAATGTACAATTGTTTAGAAAATGTGAAGTATGTGCGGGGATTTGCACCAAAAGCCAGAATATCTGTAATTATATATATTTGCAATTCTAGTTTTTAATATGTTTTTATAATAAATGCGCTACAAAACACATCAAAACATTGTAGGGTTACTTCCAGTAAGGAGTACTATTATTATATAGACCAGGGGTGCCAGATGTTTTAAACCTACAGCTTGCATGATGCTTTGTCATTCTAAATACATGCAAGGCATCATGGGCATTGTAGTTATACAACATCTGGGGATCTACCTTTTGGGAATTCCTGATATAGACCTTTTTAAGATGACTAATTTACCAATATTTTTAGTACAACCCTTGTTTACAATGAGTTCCAATATTTAAATGTATTTTTCTACTTTAATTACATATTCTTTTTTCTTGATTTGACACTTCTATTCTACCACCAGTCCTGACCTTTGTTAGTTTTTTTAAAATGTGTTTTGGTAGATTGATGGTAATGGTATATTGTATATACGTTCTAAATACATTTTTTTGTCTTGCTAGCCAGCTTGAGTAAAAGCATAGCCATGTCAAAGATGACAAAAAGGGAAACTGTTAATAATGTTTTTTTTTTTTTACTAGCTTGATATAATTTTACCAGCAAACGCTCAATCTGATAAGAAAGATAAATAAATAAATCGAGAAACGCAGACGGCAGAAATCCAATTATGTATCACAGTTTCATGTAATGATTTCATTGGGTGAGCGGGGAACAATAGAGTGAGATCTGCTACTAGGAAGAAAACCCTACCAAAGATAGATGCTTCACCTAATGTAGCATTCGGGCTCTATTGAAAACCTGGAAGTATGCAGAAACTGTTGCAGTCTGGCTAAGGAGGGATAGGATTGGGATGAAGGTTGCAAATAGGAGAGCGATGAAATATGAAGAAAGCTATTAGAGAAATGCTTCGCAGCCTACGTTGTGTTAGATGCAACATAGCAATCGTTTGTGCACACTGTGTATCCGCCCATACATATGTAAAATACATATCTCAATCACTGGCATTCCTGGATAGAAGTCAATGGTTGGCATTCATTAGAAAACAGACAACCAATTCAAGAGCTTTGACTTAAAGAAACAGATTCATTTAATTATATTATAGTGTCAGAAACACAAACATGTATTTTTGACACTATATTGTTTAACTAACTATTTAGGTCCCCTGCCCCTCTTAGATCGCAGTAAAAAATTGTTTAAACTCACCTTTTTTTTCCAGGCCGCACCAGACTGCTCCCATGGTTGAGAGCACAACCTTGATGACCTCAGCCAATCCAATGCTTTTCTCTGAAAAGGCAGTGTTTACATTAAAAGGCCTGGAGGGACGGGCTATAGGTACCATAACCATTGCGTTAAAGGAACACTATAGTCACCAAAATTACTTTAGCTAAATAAAGCAATTTTAGTGTATAGATCAATTTCACTGCTCTATTCACTGTCATTTAGGAGTTAAATCACTTTGTTTTCTGTTTATGCAGCCCTAGCCACACAACCCATGGCTATGATTGACAGAGCCTGCATGAAAAAAAAACTGGTTTCACTTTCAAACAGATGTAATTTACCTTAAATAATTGTATCTCAATCTCTAAATTGAACTTTAATCACATACAGGAGGCTCTTGCAGGGTCTAGCAAGCTATTAACATAGCAGGGGATAAGAAAATCTTAATTAAACAGAACTTGCAATAAAGAAAGCCTAAATAGGGCTCTCTTTACAGGAAGTGTTTATGGAAGGCTGTGCAAGTCACATGCAGGGAGGTGTGACTAGGGTTCATAAACAAAGGGATTTAACTCCTAAATGGCAGAGGATTGAGCAGTGAGGCTGCAGGGGCATGTTCTATACACCAAAACTGCTTCATTAAGCTAAAGTTGTTCAGGTGACTATAAGGTGACCTTTAAGAAGTTTATAAACTCACATATGTGACCGTGCCATTTATTAAGTTTTATTCTCTCTTAATATTAAAAACAAATATCGAGTTCATAATTATACTGTAATAACAAGTCAATTATAAAACCAGTGTTCTGTTACTCTATGGTTGGTTTTAAAGCATGAGTTACTAAAGTATTAATGCTGTGTAACACCATGTCCATTGGTTCCCTTAGATAATAATTGTGCACCTTTTATTCTTGTTCATGCTGAAAATGATGCAGGCTATAACTCCAACCACTCTTGGACAGACTTTGTGTGGTAAGAATCATGGGAGTTGCAGTTCACATCATCTTGAATGCTATGAACAGATAGATTGATAGACATTTAAAATGCTCATTTCAAAGTGTTATCCCGAGTGTCCCTATTTAGAAGGGGCAGTCCCTATCTTGGGTCCAAATCCTACTGTCCCCCCGTTCTATCCTAGTGTCCCTCCTTTCTAACAGCTCAATATTGTTGGAGTACCTCAGTGTCTAACACAGATCCGCAACAGTGATATTATTTCAATATCTTTAAACTACAATAAATGTAATTAGAAATCAGTCTGTGTAAATAAGATGCATTGTGCTTGTTCTAAATTCCATTTTAGTTGAATTAATTGTTATAAGTAAGTCATCACTAGGGATCGACCGATATTGATTTTTTAGAGCCGATACCGATACCGATATTCTGTGAACTTTCAGGCCGATAGCCGATATAATTTGCCGATATTCTGTACATTTACCATTTTGGAAAATAAAAACTATTTCTAAAGGTAAATGCACAAAATATACATGCCACGTGTAGTGGATGCAGTGTGACAGGGGAGCTTTGTGTGTGTGTGTGTAGTGGATGCAGTGTGTGTCTTTGTGTAGTGTGTGTGTGTAGTGGATGCAGTGTGTGTCTTTGTGTAGTGTGTGTGTGTGTGTGTAGTGGATGCAGTGTGTGTTTGTGTAGTGTGTGGGTTGTGGATGCAGTGTGTGTTTGTGTAGTGTGTGTGGAGGATGCAATGTGTGTTTGTGTAGTGGATGCAGTGTGTATTTGTTTAGTGTGTGTAGTGGATCCAGTGTGTATTAGTGTAGTGTGTATATAATGAAAGCAGAGTGTTTGTGTAGTGTGTGGGTAGTGTGCGTAAAGTGAATGCTGTATATACTAAATGCAAAGTGTGTGTGTATATAATGAATGCAGAGTGTGTGTGTGTATTTGTGTAGTGTGTGTATATAATGCAGTGTGTTTGTGTAGTGTGCATTATATAAACACACTACGCAAATACACTGCATTATATACACACACTATGCAAACACACTGCATTATATACACACACTACACACACAAACACTGCATTATATAAACACTACACAAACACACACACTGCATTATATACACACACTGCACAATACACACTGCACAAACACACACTGCACAAACACACACTGAATTATATAAACACACTACACAAATACACTGCATTATATACACACACTACACAAATACACTGCATTATATACACACACTACACAAATACACTGCATTATATACACACACTACACAAACACACACTGCATTATATACACAGTGTGTTTGTATAGTGTGTGTATATAATGCAGTTTGTGTGTGTTTGTATAGTGTGTGTATATAATGCAGTTTGTGTGTGTTTGTATAGTGTGTGTATATAATGCAGTTTGTGTGTGTTTGTATAGTGTGTGTATATAATGCAGTTTGTGTGTGTTTGTATAGTGTGTGTATATAATGCAGTGTGTTTGTATAGTGTGTGTATATAATGCAGTGTATTTGTGTGCATTGTATACAAACACACACTATACAAACACACACTGCATTATATACACAGTGTGTTTGTGTAGTGTCTGTGTATATAATGGAGTGTGTGAGGGGGAATTTTTTATTAAATTATTTTTATATATATATATTTAATTATTATTTTTTGTCCCCCCTCCCTGCTTGTTACCTGGCCAGGGAGGGGGGATATGACAGTTCCTGGTGGTCCAGTGGTATTGGCTGAGCTGGGGGGGAGCGGGCATCAAGCGCTTACTCACCTCCCAGCAGCTCCTCCAGCTCCCCAGTGCAACTCTCGCGGCCAGCGTGTCGCGCGGAGCGTTGCCATGGTGATCCATGGCAACGCTCTGACGGCCGCGGGTCTCGCGAGAGTTGCACTGGGGAGCTGGAGGAGCTGCTGGGAGGTGAGTAAGCGCTTGATGCCCGCTCCCCCCCAGGACCGCCGGGCTTGTAATGAGCCTGGCGGTCCTAGGAGGTATTATCGGCAATATCGGTAAAACCGATCGATCCCTAGTCATCACCTAACATTTCTGAGATCAGCCTTGCCCCTAGTCACACTCACACCCTTAAAATTAAAGTGCACCCCTTTGTCCATTTGAAATATTAGAATGTCCTTTACATTTCAATTTCTAGTGTATTTCTATCACCTGTATTTCGTTTGTTCCTACATTTACATTCTTTACTTGTATCCCGAAGACAAATCTTGTGCATAATAAAAAAAAGAAACATTAAATGAGCCTCTTACTCACAACTTACTCATGTTTGCAAAAATTTCTTTATTACATAATTCAAAAACAAACTATAGTTCAGTCCCTCTCAGCCCAACTCATTTAGGCATCTGACTACACTCCCTTCTCCCATTATCACCAGGGCTTTCGTTCTCCCAGCTGTATCTCCACCCACTATGATTCCACTCATCTCTTTTAACACATTCTTTCGTTTCTGATAATCTCTTTCTGTCATTAGTATATGTGTACATATCTAGCATGCCTGGATTCCAGTTACAATTGGACACATGGGAGTCTGCAGCATGGGGCAAAATAACGCAAGTGCCACCCCCCAGAATTTGCCTTCCCTTTGATTTTAATCAATCATAACACACATACAGATACACACACTACACAAATACAGATACACTACACACACAGACAGATACACACACTACACACAGATACACACACGTCACACACAGATACAGACACTACAAATACATTACACACACACACACATTACACACATACAAACAGATACACACACTACACATACAATATATACACTATACATACACAGATACACACAAACACACACACACACAGATACACAAACACACAGTTACACACACTGCACACAGATTCACACACACATTACACACAAACACACCCAGTAAATAATTAAGCCACCTAGCATTTTCTTACATTCTGCTGACTGTGGATGGTGAGAGTTGTGGGCCTCCTCTCGCGCGGCTCGGTCTCGGTGTGAGCTGGGAGGAAGTGACACTTCCTCCCAACTCTCCCTGTGGATAGAAGGGGCATTCATTGCATATGTTTATGAGGTGGCCCTAAGGCATGGGCCACCCGATGGACCTTCACACAGGTTCCAAACTCGTGCGGTGCTACTGCACCGCCGCCACGGGTTGGAAACTAGTGTTTTAGATGATGACAGGGGCAACAAAATGCTGTCCCTGTCAGAGTGCCGCCTGGAGCCGTGGTTCCACATCGGTCAATTTTTGCTGGTCCTATCCCTAACTTTATGACTTATACCAAGACTATCCCAATTCTTCTTATTTTTACTGGGCCTATCTCTACCTTTGTGATTTGTACTGGGCCTATACTTATCGAGAGCCCACCCCTGGCCTAATTATTTATATGGTGTCTACACCAATCTTTGTGATTTATGCTGGCGTAATCCCTAACTTTATGATTTACACTAGGTCTATTTGTATTGTTACAAGTTATACTAGGACTGTACCTATGCTTGTGATTTATGCAGTGTCCATCCCAACACATGATTTATTAATACCTCCAAACTGTACCTAAATAGGAGCGACAGTGCCTATTTTAGTCCCCAATCCCTCTCTCCCTCTTTTTTTCCCTAATGTCTCTGTTTTCTCGGAGCTCCATAACGTTGGTGTGTCTGAGTGTATAACAGAGGTTCACAGCAATAAAACTCCCAGTAATGTTTCTTTCAACTACAATAAATGTGTTTAGAACTCACTCTGTGTAAAAAGATACATTGTTCTTGTTCTAAATGTAATTTTATTTTCATTGTTATAAGTCAGTCCTGCACATGTTGCTGAACTACCACTCCCATGATTCTTTGAAACAGATAGCCAAGGAATCATGGAAGTTGTAGTTCCGCAACATCTATGTGGCTGCATGTTGTGCAGGCGTCTTATAAGTTATCTAAATTTTCTCAGAGCAGCCCCACCTCTGTCCAGACAACTCGGTCACGACCCTAAAATCAAAGAGTCCCACTTTGTCCATTTGAGATGTTGAGAGGTATGTTTATTAGATATACATTCCAGCCCAAGTGACAGAGTATTGGTTGGCTGTTCATTTTGATTTGATTACAGCAAATTAAAATTCTATAGAGTTAGTTTCCACAAGATTCACAGGGAGTGGTTTAATATTTATGCAATCTGCTAAACAGATCCATTTGCCATGCCCAGTTCACTGACAATACATTTGTAGGAGTAATCTGGGTGGATTGTTGGTCAATTCTCCAATATTTTCTTTTCACATTCCACAAATATACGTGACCCAGATTTCAACACATTCACAAAATGTCCAACACATTTTTATCTTTATTATTTTCCTTCAGCCCATGAACATAAATAAACACACACAGCACTCTATTATTGTTGGTCAAAAATCTTGCCCACATTTCTCAAGTTTTTGTCAAAATATTATCTCCACAATCTACGTCTTAAAGGGATACTATAGTGTTAAGAATACTATAGCTCCCTCTGCCTCTCCCCTCCTTAGTGGCCCCCACCCTCAGGCCAATAAAGGGTTAAAAACTCTTTATTTACTTACTCGATCCCAGTGCCTATGTCCCTTGACAAAAAGTTCCTTAGCAAGCAGGAAGTGCCTCTAGTGGCTGTCTGATAGACGGCCACTAGAGGCTGTCCTAATGCTGCCTAAAACTGCTGCGTATTACATGGCAGGAATAAGGGCAATAGGCACACTGTACCCAGATAAGGTAAGTGTCCCTCTGTGCTGCGAGGAGGTCTCCTCCTTCTGTGGTAAGGGGATAGGGGCAATGCACCAGACCACTTCAATGAGCTGAAGTGGTCTCGGTGCCTATAGTAGCTGCTTCTGTTACAAAATACTTTCTTGTTATAGGTTACTGTGCTTGCTGTTCAGTTCCTTTTCTGTACCTCCCTTGTAACCTACAATGTCCCATAACACAGCGTGTACCTGTCCTCGTAAAACACTGCAAAGCTTTCTGAGACTTGGCTAATAGAATAATAAGATAACTGTACTGGTTCCAGAAACCCACCCTCAAAGTAGAACCGAGACTGTACGCAGAGAGTTTTGATACCACCAAGTCAGCCTCTGCCTCCTGTAGTTTAACCTTTGCAACGCTGGGTAAAGAGACATTTTAGGCTACTTAAGTCGCCATAACAACTTCATCTAAATTAAGTTGTTATGGTTACAGGAAGTCCCTGGCGAACTCTTACCTCTAGGGTAAGCTGTTTTAAGCACGTGTCAAGGGGGGTTGCACATATATAATGTAATTTTAAAAAGTAAGTAACGTTTTAAATCTGTTATACATTTTCATTATTTACTTTTGCATATTTGTAATGCATTATCAATGCATGTGCACGCAGTATAATGAATGAGTTAGCCATTTCAGCTTTCAGAGCTCTTAAATGGCTTGCAGACTGGCACAAACAAATATTTCTTGTGAATAGATGCTCGTGTGCCAGCCATTTAGTGAAAAGTGCAATTTGGTTGCCTAGAATTAACCTCGTTAGATTAGAGTAGATTAAAAAGGAAAGATTCTGACTTCCTCTTTGAAGTACTCGTTTCCCCTTCCTTACACATTAAATGGATTTTCAATAATGATGCGAATAGGGAGGAGTGAGAGGGACCATTCATTTGTAAATTAGCACTTTGAGGATTAGAGGTTGCTCCTTTCTGTACCAACGCACGTTTGTTCAGAAAACTCACAGACACATCCAACTGATTAGTACTCAACAGATTCACTGGGGGTTCTGCCCTTACAGTGTGCCCAGCACAGCAAGAAACTGACCAGCACATCAAAGGCTAAATAAACAGAGCAGAAAATACAAAGATCACTGCAGCAAAGGGTAACGTCAGTGTCAGCAAGCTTCAGAAAACCCTCTAAACTAGGCTTGTACCACTGCACGCGTGGATTTATTCAGGTTTATTTACTAAACAGTGAGATTTGACAGTGAGTTTACAATTGAGTTGAAGGATCTTTGGAAAGAGTTCAGAGAAGGGCTACTAAACTGGTTCATGGATTGCGGGATAAAACTTAAAGGAAAGGTTAAAGGATCTTAACATGTATAGCTTGGAGGAAAGACGAGACGGGGGGATATGATAGAAACATTTAAATATATAAAGGGAATCAACACAGTAAAGGAGGAGACTATATTTAAAAGAAGAAAAACTACCACAACAAGAGGACATAGTCTTAAATTAGAGGGACAAAGGTTTTAAAATAATATCAGGAAGTATTACTTTACTGAGTGGGTAGTGGATGCATGGAATAGCCTTCCAGCTGAAGTGGTAGAGGTTAACACAGTGAAGGAGTTTAAGCATGCATGGCATAGGCATAATGCTATCCTAGCTATAAGATAAGGCCAGGGACTAATTATTACTATATTATTATTTATATAGCGTCAACATATTCCGCAGCGCTTTACAGTGTGTGGACGAGCAGACATGTAGTTGTAACCAGACAAGTTAGACACACAGGAACAGAGGGGTTGAGGGCCCTGCTCAATGAGCTAACATGCTAGAGGGAGTGGGGTAAAGTGACACAAAAGGTAAGGATATTATTAGAATAATGAGAGTTGCAATAGAGGAATCAGTTGGATACTATTAACAGTTTAATTGTGTGTGAGTGGAGACTGGGTGAGCAGTATTTAGAAAATTGGGCAGACTAGATGGGCCGAATGGTTCTTATCTGCCGTCACATTCTATGTTTTTATGTTTCTATCTGGGCCAACTAGAAGAGTTGGAAAAAGTCTCCATCACCTTCATGTTGTATAAGACTATCGGAGTTATTCACTAAAGTAAGAAGTGAACATTTCAAATTTAGAGCTGAAGTAGCCAAACGTGGATCATAGCTGATTTGAAGAATTTTTCCACTTAGGCAATTTTGGCCTTAGATTTGAAATTAACTATGATTTCTCTTTGAATTCCTGGCATTCCTCACTTAGTTAATGACCCTGTTATTAAAAGTGAATATCATTATAAGATCATATAGATCATTCAAGGAAAATGCTTTACAGATGGTATTGGGTACCGGTGAAGTTAGCTCGTGTAGACCCTGAAGTTCCTAATATATACTGGAGGTGTGGTATAGGTATTGGCACTATGGTGCATATTTGGTGGGCTTGCCCTAAACTAAGACATTTTTGGAGTGTGATCGCAAGCCTTATTACATCTTGTACTGTCATCTCTCTTCCTTTTGAGCCAGATTGCTTTAATTACATAATTTCACTAATAAACTCCCAAAAGAGGATCAATATCTTATTTATCATTTAATAATAATAATCACATTAGGAAATATAAGTAAAAACTGGTTAACTAGGAATACATCACAAATTGATGTATGTATATTACAAATGGAGAGTTCTGAGCAGGGAACCACCGAAGGGCAGGCTATTTCAGTTGCTGTCCGTTCTCAGAATACTCTTGCGACTTGATTTTGTACCAAAATATATAAATGCATGGCAAGGAGAGTAGAAAAAAAGCATGGGAAAATGGAGGAAAATGTACTAAAGCAAGTATATAGAGGGTATTAGGAGGAAGTAGGAAGGAGCTAAAACAGGTTGTTGCATGGGCATGTGGAGAATGGTGACCGGGTTTGTTGTAAAAATGGGGTGTTTTTTTTTTCTCTCTCTCTCTCTTTTCTTTTTTTCTATTGTTTGTTTATAAATAAAAGAGTAATACATCACTTTAGGAACTTAGTAGAGTATAGTAATGTAAGAAATAATTTGTTACTTTGACATAAAAG